GGGTTCTTTAGATGCTGAGGATCTAAATAGGGTATTTGTTCAAAATATTGAGCCAAAGTTTTTTTAGATTCTATTTTTTTGAACTTTCCAAAATTAAAATTGTGGAGCTTTATTCTACCATTGGTAATACCAATGTTGTCTGATCTCTATTATTTATTATTACACAATATATATAAAATATATTATTAATGCATCAGAAAAAAATAAATTATATATAAAAATGTTAAATAATTACCAAATTGCCATCATACATATCATATTGATGTAGATAATATAATCCATTTGTTAATTGTTTGGCAAGTTGGAGTTTTTTAGCCCATGATAAGTCATTGTCTTTTAAATAATCTCGTAAATTATCATCAGCATAATCTAAAACCACAGTAACAATATTATCAGCATTAGGCTCTTGTGTTAAACCAATGTAGCTCAAAACATTGTCATTGGCTGAAACTCTACGAAGCTTTTGTAACTGTATTAAATAAATTTTTTATTTAAATAATAAAATAAAAATTTACAAAATAAGAGATATTTATTTATATTCAATAACCAACCTCTAAAACTACATGCCTCAATGAGAACTGAATATTAAATTTATATCTTATCAAAGTTACAACTTTTTGTAATGGCCTTAATCTAGCCTTTTTTAATATTGAGTCAGCAGAATTTTCAACCAACTCTATATTCTCAAAATCATTGTTGTAATCATAAAACAACATGAAACCGTTTTCTTTAGCCTTATATATCCATTCTCTGGCTTCGTTATCGTCGGGCAAAAGTCTGAGCTCTTCATTATTAGCCATTTTTGTTACTTTATATATTATTTAAAAATGAAATTTATACATAAAGTGGAAAGTTTTTGATAAAAATGAATTATAATATTTTAGGTAAGAATTTTTTATTTTTTAATAAGTAAAATGAAAGAAAATTACGTTTAAGTGAATTTTACAGTATAACCTTGGTGCTGGATATATAGGAAAATTTCATTCAAAAATTCGTTGGAAATTACTAATCGCGCGTTTCACGAATTTTTATAGTGTGCGACAAGATTTTTAATTATTATTGTTATTATTAACATTATTAATATTAACGTATCATTTCTTTTTTCCTTTTATATTTCATAATTCTGTCAATGTCTATTACTATTTTTTCTCGATCTTTTATTTATTTACTATCCTATCAATCTTGAAATCAGTCAGATGATCAAAAGTAGATTTGTTTTAGATAATCCTATTTTAGCATAAAGCATTCATTACAAATATTTTGTCAAATTTGTGGTGTAATTTCATGTGTGCAGCATCACCAACATTACGTGATAAGCATATTAATCTTCAAGAGTCAAAGAATTTAATGATATATTTTTGCTATCCAATTTACTTGTTTATAGAGATACGCTTATTTGAAGATATGCAACTTTGAAATGGGATTTTGTTAAACTTTCAACAATTTTATGACTTGTATACTTTGTATCTACAACTTTTATCATTCATGAATAGCTGGTCTCTTAATAAAAATTTAAGATTCAAGTTTAATATCAACTTTATTGAAAAAATAATCATTTTTAAAAAATACAAATTATTTTTATTATAATTTCCGACTACAAAAGTGTTTTTATAAGAGAAACAAAGAATATATTTTGGCAAACAATTACCATCACATGTATAATTAATTAGTATTAGTATATTATATCAATATCGTATTAGTAGTATTATAATTAGATCAACCAAACGTTATTATTATACTAATATTAATACAGATATTCGGATATCCTATTACTATCCATTCATCAAAACTCTATCCGAATCCAAGCTCTAACGGATATTCACATATTCATGAATATTAATATTAATATTAACATTAATACCCATCGATCAACCGTGGGGTAAAATTGATATCCGGATAGTCGCGAATATTCACGGATACTATCCGACAGATATAATCACTAAATGAATTTGATGAAAGGTTTGATGAAGAAGAATTAGAGTAGTTGGAAATTAGTAGAAGAAAATGCCCTTTGAACTAGATAAATGTTTGTTGTTGTTGTTGTTATTCGTCGTTATTAGTAGAAAAAACTATTTTTTTGAACTGGGAAATATTTTGCCATTGTTGTCATTCGTCATTATTAGTAGAAGCTACTTTTGAATTGGATGAACGCTTTGTTTTTGTTTTTGTTGTTGGGGTTAGTTGTACATCATTATTAGTAGAAGCTATTTTGATGTTCTCATATTCTCGTGGTAAAGATCGGCCATCGGAAAAGATCGGATTGACTAGTGTAACAAAAAATCTTTTAATATTAAAAGATTTTTATTTAATTAATTATTCCTACCTAATATACTATATGTATGCATGTCTGATAATCGTGAAAAAAAAAACGAAGAAGAAGCCAGAGATTGGTTAAATAGTGCAAAAAAAAATAAATTTATTACGTTTGTAGACTTCGACAAATTTAAAGATGTAGTGGAAATCGAGAACTCGGCCCACGCCATAGTAAAGAAGGCCTTTTCAAAGCCTTTAGGAAGAGAAGTAACTTTGACGACATTTAAAATGAGTCTTAGAGATTTAGTTAAAGAGGTTTGTTGTCGAAATTAAGAATTAATAAAAACCATTTTTTTAAATCTTTAAATCCATTTTATTTTTATCTTATTTTTATATAGTTACAAAAGTACCAAAAGGTTGCGGCACATAATAATATTTTGAGTTATATTGGTTTAGCGCAAGATCCCGATCGAAGTAATTTATACAATTATAGTTTGATTCTAGATTATGCTAAAGATAATTTACGAGAACATTTAAGTGCCAATGAATTAACATGGGCTCAAAAATTAACACTTGCTGGAGAATTAACAAGTGGATTATATTGTATACATGATTCTGATATGTTTCACGGTAATTTGGTAATATCTTTAAAGATTTATATGCAATTCGTAATTTTTTTTTAATAATTAATAATATAATTTATATATTTATAATAATAATAGAGATCAGAAAATATTGGTATTATCAAGGGTACAATAAAGCTCCACAATTTTGGAAAGTTCAAAAAAGTAGAAGAAACTAAACTAACTTTGGCTCAATATTTTGAGTCAATACCCTACTTAGACCCTCAGCATCTAAAAAACCCGAAAGAATTCTTTAGGGATCAAATGGTAGCTGATATATACAGTTTAGGCGTATTACTTTGGGAGATTTCATCACAAAAACCACCATTTGAAAAATATTCTAATGAGCCATGTAAGCTATGTTATAAAATTGTTTACGAAAATCTTCGTGAAAGTCCAGTTCCAAATACTCCTAAATTTTATGAAGATATATATAAAGGTAATTATTTTTAATTATATCCATTATTTATTAATAATCATATTAATGTCAATAATTCTTAAATTTTTTTAGAATGTTGGCAAACTGAAAGAGATCTGCGTCCTAACGCTGAGGACGTTTTGGAATGCCTGGTAGCTGAAGATTCAGCTAATTTCGATTAATTCAATCAATTTATATATGTGTATTTTAAATTAGCCTTTATCAAAAAATATTTTTTGTATAGTTTTATATATATTATATGGTATATAAGAAAAAATGTTAATACATGTCATTATGATTATAGACAAAAAATAAATAATTCTCCGCAGTCAGAGAATCATCAAATATGGAAATCGATTCTGGACGGACAGGGATAGAAAAAGGAAGTTGTAATAATATTACGTACTATTGATAATTCTTATTGTATACAACATTAGGGTTGTATTTGAGTTGGAGCAAATTCCAAATCTCAGAAGAGTCACTATCAAACTCATTTCTTAATGTCAAACTATTATTATATTCTGTTGCTCTTTTAAATAAGGATCTTTAGTAAGTGAATTGCACTATGAACCATTTTCTCATTATTTGTAGCAATCTTCTGATAATGAAAAAGTATTCCCTATTCGTTTTCTTTTTTGGATCAATAATCTTTGAAAAAGTCATTGAAAATATACAAGTATAGTATAACAAGTCAATAATACTAACTCAGGCACTGGGTAATCCTATGATAACCCATGTGCCTTTAGTATTAGTGAGGGGATAGTTCATTTTGTTGACAGTTCATATGATTTTAGCGTAACATACACATTGATTATAATAATTAATATAATTTGTTTAGTTGTTAATCCTGATTGGATCTAGGAATCATGATTTCAGAAGCATCAGGAAATTTGATAAAAAGAAAATTTGGATACTAATTAGTTTGCAAGCATATCAATGACTGGATTTCATGCATCTTGAAAAGAATCATCATCAGAAAAATAAATATTTCTGAGTTTTGATTCAAACGAAATGCCAATTTGTCTGATTCACATTATTAAAAGCAATAATTATGATTATAATAATCGGTAATAATATCATCACATGTAAACCAACTGTCAGTAAAGTATTTGTCGACAAAATGAACTGTTGATGAAATGTGTGTTAACGAAATGATTGTTGACGAAATGATTGTTGATGAAGTAAACGCGACCGCTAAATTTAAAGTTAAATTAATAATTTCACTATCATGACCAGAAAAATCTATTGCTTTCGGAAATTTCTCGGTAAATTTCAATTGGCATTTTGCGTATTATAGATGCAAATTTTCGAACATTAATTTGCATAATGCGCGTAATGATCTTTTCTATTTTATTTTTAAAAGTGTAAAATTTATTATTTGTAAATATAACCTAAATAAAAAAAATTACTTTATTAATTATTTCTTAATCATTTTCATATCCATCTAACTCATATAATTCAATTGTTAATAATTTTTTTCATGAAGGTAATTTTAAAGCTGGTCTAATTGAATAAAAATATTACGAATTGGTTTTAATTCAGAAAATGAAAAATGAAATCCACAACAAAAAATAGCAGTTGCAAATAAAAATTCAAATTCTTGTTGCTCTGCAGAAGAAATTCTACCAATAAAATTAATAATTGAGATGTTAACTAAATGAATTGCTTGAGATAAAGAAGTAGGGGAAGAAGAGGAAGTAGAATTCTCAGATTGTGATGACTGCGTAATTATATTTTTGAAAATATTCATCAAGTACATAATGTGAAACTTTGGTACATTTCTTAATGTGTTGTTCACAACGATTTGCAGCAGCAAGCAATTTATGTGAACAATAATTACATTGAACTCTCTTTGTAAAATTAGACCAAATTTTACTAAAATAGAATTTTTTTTAAAATCGTGTAACGTTACATATGTTCATTATTCGTTGGGACATTATTGTGGTGTTCGATGGCGGTTGATCATCAAACATATGTTACATCAATATAACAAATTATTATGTGCGGATTTTT